CTGGCATATTGCTATTTGGATGAATCTGGGTATGAAATAAATGAATCAATTTATGGTGTTATTGTTTACTCAGATCCTTCTTTAAACCAATAATGTATTACGTTCTGATAACATTCATGCAAAATGAGAAAGGAGGCAAATGCTTTTTCACAGAACTGCATTAATATAGTCTCTCTAAATTACAATTTTGCTAAAAGATTGCTATCGGAGGAAGACAGCAGAATAAATATAGTTTAAAATGTCATTTTTTATTCCAGAAGAGTAACGCTTTTTAAAGTTTAAGAAGCCTACTATATTAGTTGCAAATGATCCAATACTCCAAAGGTTAATTTTCAATTTTCACTGTGAAAGGTTACTATTACATTCTGACCTGTAAATTGCATCTTTCCGTTAATACCCTATCATCTCATTTGTGCCCCTTTGCAACTGAGGACTTGAACGTTCTATATTTGGTGACTCACATCTGTTTATTATTTAGTTTATGCTTGGCTTCACATGCTGGTTGAGTTGGCAGTTTATAGCACAACCTCATTTTAGATAGTTGTACCTGTGTGCACATAAAAATGAAGGAATCAAATCACCTGATTTTGTAGTTATTAGATTACTCTAAAATTAAGCACTCAACACTTAACAAAATATATTAAACATATAAAAATACTTAAGATAAAACTGAAAATACATTATGTCTCTGATTAGATAACGTGACAGTTAGTTGTTCCTTGAGGTAATCAACCCACCTGCCAGCAGGGCAGTTCAGAGATGACTCAGTCAATTTTATAATAACCATTTCTGGAGTCTTTCCAGATGGAAGAGATTAGGAGACAAACATTTTTCAGTGATTAAAAAAGAAATGGTCCCTCAGATAAAGTGGGGATGGAGCTGTGACTCCACCCTTTTGCCATCTCTCTCCTGCAACTTCTTCTGTGTAGGCTGATAGCACAAAACATATAAATCGAACAGGTCCCTTTTTGCCTGCTTTGAAAGCAAAGAGAATTCTGAATTCAGTCAACTCAGAATTCTCTTTGCTTTCAAAGCAGGCAAAAAGGGACCTGTTCGGTTTATATGTTTTGTGCTATCAGCCTACACAGAAGAAGTTGCAGGAGAGAGATGGCAAAAGGGTGGAGTCACAGCTCCATCCCCACTTTATCTGAGGGACCATTTCTTTTTTAATCACTGAAAAATGTTTGTCTCCTAATCTCTTCCATCTGGAAAGACTCCAGAAATGGTTATTATAAAATTGACTGAGTCATCTCTGAACTGCCCTGCTGGCAGGTGGGTTGATTACCTCAAGGAACAACTAACTGTCACGTTATCTATATTTATTCTGCTGTCTTCCTCCGAGAAGAGGACGAGAATTCTGAATTCCTGGCACGGTTGACTGAATTTGGCTCCAAATTGGCTATTTCAGGTTCTAACTGGGCTAGTTTTGGGCTAGTTTTCAGAATCGATAGGCTGGATTTGAATGTTTCCATAGCATCCCACTCCATGTCTAGTTAATTGCACTGTGTGAGCCATGGCTACATATAACTTTGCATCTCACATTTTTTCTCTTGTTCATTAAAACAATGCTCACAAAATCCATTCATGAACATGAAACAGGACCATAATCTAGTTTATTTTGAATATTCTAACTATCAAAGCCGGTGCATGTACAGCCTTCAATTACTTGCCCTTCCCCCCTTTACTGTATTTTTAATACAACTAATTATTCAGTTATGAGAGGAAATATTAGAAAGAGGAGCAAATAAAACATTAATCATTCCTTTCCCCTGCTATTATCCCATGCACCAATCCCACCGCTGTTCTAGAACTAGTATGAGTTTGGACCATAGGTTTAATGCCTCTGTGATTCAAGAAAAGCGTAGCATAAATAGTTAAACCATTGTTAAGCCTTTGCCTCAATACATCCTGGGGAAAAAAGAGAACACCAATTCACCTTCTGACCACTCTGACCAAAATTGCTCTCCAAAATGGAGTCAACCCTACTCCAAATCTGAACCAATTATTCCATGATGTTTCTGGGTTTTAGGCTTCTACACAAAAAAGGACAAACTTACAAGATTAGTTCACATGATAAAATCATCCTAATTGCATAAAATATTAATATAATGTTTAAATGTTCCAATTGTTGGAATTAGACAATCAATTAATTTCTATGGTTTCTTTAAAACTGAAATTAATAATCTTTTATAATAAAGATGGGTTTTTTTGATGACAAGAATTATCTAGATTTTGTGACTTTTGAACCCACTGCTCTGTCCATTTATATATTTTTACATTGCTTATTTCATCATTTTAACACCAATTTAACTGAATATACACTACAGACTCAAATCTGCTGATGCTGTTTGAGCCTTCAACATGTTTTCTTTCTTTGCTACGCTATTGAGGGCAGTAGGAATAGACAAATGAAACTCGATTTTTTCAGAGAAAATGAAATATTGATCACTTATCATAAGAAACAATGAGCCTGGCATAAGTAGAACTCATGCTATGAATACAGAATAAGTTACTAATCTGAAGCTACAGTAGCTATATGCATTATAATGATGCCCTGGTGTTAACTTTCTTTAAAATGAATTAAGGTGCATTTGAATAGCTAGAGTTATAGATTCTAGGAATGGAAGAATCAGCTGTATTATAAACTGTATCTTGTATCTTTCCTACAGTTTGCCATGAACTTATCCTGCAAATTACTCTATATGTTATAGACTCTAAGAATATTATTACATACCACAGTATACAAAATTGAAAATATTTTATTATTCAAGGTTGAATGCATAAAATTAGATTGTTAAAGGTTGTTTATTAACTAAACATATTTTGATAGGTCACTTATAAAGTGAAAAAGAAAACACCAGTTTAGCTATTTTGCTAAATAAAGCTCCAGGGTACAATATTCACAGCTTTATTCAATAAAATTACTTTTAAAATAGTAAGTGTGTGATTGGGAAACACTAGCATCATCCGTCAACCAAACTGCAAGAAAGCTAAATAATGGACCATTTACATTATTTTCCTTAGGCTCCAGTAATTTGCAGGCATTGCATCAATACAGCTCTTTTAAAAAAGTATGATGAAGACATGTTCTTCTACATTTAGTTTTTAAAAAAACCTCCTGCAATGAGTTGCAGGCTATTTTGTGCAACTTCGTCTTTTTTTTTTTTAAACAAAATTTGAAAAATCATTAGAAAAGTTAAATTTATAAAAACATTTAGAAGGCTAATTTTAAGGATTACAAAATGATGCTGATTAGTCTACAACTAAGCAATCTAAATCCTGATTGACTGTTCAGCCAAGATTAGCTACAAATGCCTGCCCGAATAGAATGAAGCTATTTTGCTAAATAGTAGAAAACCAGGGGTAAGCGGAGGCAGTGAACAAAAAGCTGGGTTGACTGCATTTTAAATAGTCCAAGTCTTGGTTGAAAGAAAACAAAGTGCTGTTATTAGATATACAATCCAAAATCTATTTGCCTAAAAATCTCAAAGCAAGGTAAGGAGAAGTCAAGGCTTTTCTTTTTTAAAATATAATTTTCTTCAACTTTTTTAAAATAAAGATTGTAAAACTAATACAAACTAAGCTAGAAAGGAATATAAATAAAAGAAAAAATTCAGAAGATGCAGAAAAAGAACAAAAAGAAAAGAAAAAGAAAAAAGAAAAAAGCTAACAAAGAGTGGCTTTCAACCTTCATCACGCCAAGCCTAAGCTAATATGTTCTTTCACCAGCTTTTAAAATTACAAATTAAAAAAAAAACTTCTTCCCATACTCTTAATTTTTATCTATATGCAATCCAGAAATTGTAATCTTTTCTGCCCTGGTTCTGCAGAAAAAGTTATCAGAAATACCAAATGAAATTGTTAATTCTTAATTTGATCTTTAATCAAATAGTCCAACTTTATAGTTCTTTTTGCTTTTCATAATCTTAAGCTTTAAATCATTTCAATAGCTTCACAGGATTTGATCTCTTATCAATTCTTGGCATCCAAGTGGAGTCTTCAATGTTCTAGTATCCATTTACAACCACCATCCGTTCCTAATATAGGTTCAGTTCTGTTTCAGTCACTTCCCTGAAGTACATTATTTAATAATATACATGTTTTTCAAACCTTATAACAAAGATAATGAAGATTCCAAATCTCCCAATCTGTTTAAAACTTTCTTAAACTAAAATTCTGTTTTTTGCTTTTTGTCAATGCATATTATTTTAAATGCTTAAGTCTCTGTTTAAAAGACTTTAAACAGAGTGCCAGCCCAACTCATTTTCTAATCAGATTTGGAAATGTTCATTTTAGCCACTTTATTTATTTATTATTTATTTATTTGTCTTGTATGCCGCCCACTCCCGGAGGAGTCCGGGTGGCTCACAAAAGACAAGGGAAAGGGGGGAACGAGACAAAGACAACATATTAAAAACAAAAACCAACATTCACAATTTCTGTGGAGGTAGATGCTTCTCAGCTCCCCCCAGCCTGCTNGTTTCCTTCCTGAGTAGGGGTTGGATTAGAAGACCTCCAAGGTCTCTTTCAATTCTGTTACTTTTGCTCATTATTGGAAGAATGCATCCACGTCTACAATGTGCACTAAAATAGTCATCCCCCTACCACAACTTTACTATCATAAAATAAATTATGTCATATTAAAACTAATAATAAAAATATTGATGCTGTTATAAAAAGCTATGGATGCAGCTGTAACTCAGAAGACCTAAAAAAGGAGACTACATTATCATCCGCATGATAGCTATCTCCCTCCACCCACTAAAATGGAAACTCTTATGAACATAGTAATAGAAGATTAAACTATTCAAATGAAGCAGGTGAAACTGAGGAAAAGCAAAAAAAGAAAGCTGTAGAAATCAAGCCAATGATGAAGTCAATGGAGGTGGACTTCACCTATCACTTGCCTACAGTAAAGAGAAATAACATACATGAACTAAATAGGGGTTATTTTGCCATTACTGGAGCTCAGCGCAATATTTGTCTTTCAACTTTTTTACCTCAAAATCCTGATATTGTTCTTCTGTTAAGGATTTTTTGGCAACAACCAAAGTGCGCAGACCTTCTCTTGCCATGTTACCACACTAAAATTGCAAATAAATAAATAATTACAGAATAGTTATGAGTCATGCTGCAATGCATTGATACAAAAAGACAAAAGGTTATGAGGTCAATTTACATTAAGCTGTACATTCATCCACAACCATGATTTTATTCTTGAGACATCAAGCCAGCTACATATTCTCAACAGTGATAACCTTCCTGTTGTGGGAGTTCATTCTCATACTGTCGGAGAAAGGCAATATTGCAATAGATTTGATAACTGACAAGATAAAGGAAACCTTGAAACTCTTGCCCAAAAGTGGGAGCCAAGCATATTATGTTTGGTGGGCAAAAGAAAAAGGTACAGAAGGGTTTAAATACTGATTCTTCGAAATCAGTATTGCAGAGCAATACAAAACAGAGAAGTTGCTGGAATTCTTTCATTATTGCTTCTTAACTTTTCTCAATTAACTTACTATCTAACGTTCTTAACTTCTTGTGAATTTATCTAATCAGTTCCAGTCCTCCCTGGCCTGGTGGTTGAAGTTTGACACCTCCTGATATTTGAATCAACAGTTTTGCCTTGTATGTTTCATTGTCCCCTTGCCATCTCTATCCCAGATTAAGGAACCAATGCCATGTAGATAATGACAACTTTTACTGTAACGCCTATAGTAACAGAACCTTGAAAGTCTGAATGTGCTCCTCTCCTTTTATCTTTGTATGGCCTAGAGAGGGATCTCCTGAGACATTTACTCAGGTTTCTTGAAATAGGCTCAAACCTCACATGTCTAATCACTGGCCTTGGTAGTAGCTCTTGTCCTGTCCTTCAAGGTCTTTCCCTATGCCCTCTGCATCCTTCAAGTGGAAATTAAATTAGCTCTGGTTATTTTTGAAGGGCTATTCAAAAAGTAGGGCTGAGGGATTTTTTTTTTTTTATCACATGGCCACTTGGCCTCTGAACTACCTGTGCTGGTTTTTGTCCATGATTTTTGATAATACAGGAAATTACATAGGGAGGTTACATGGAGATTTGGGCTGTATTACAGATGACAAGTAGGTTTTTCTTGTCTCTATCAATCTATCATTTGGAAATGATGTAGGCAAACTAACAGAAGCTTAAAATAGTTGGAGGTGAATGTATAGTTGGTGGAGAAATGTGTACTAAAATGTGTCTGGTTACAAATTTGCAATCAGTCTGAGGAATGGCTACAATCTCCAGGCATTATCAAAAGCATATGGAAACCTGTATCATCTTTTGGAACACAGGTGGCTTCTCTGGCTAAAAGTATCTTTGACAAGCTTTGGCTGGTTTCTGAAATAAGATCTATCAGAGAAAACCAGTTAAACCCCAGAGTAGAATACTGTAAGGTTCTCTAAATGTATCTTTAAAGTCCAAAAATGTCAGCATAAAATTCTATGCCAATATACTTGTAGGGATCAGACAAATTCAACTCAATTAACTATGGAGATATTTGGATCCAAGTTACATGAGGCAAAACATTTTCATACTTACACTTCTGAGTGTCTTACATTAAGCTGCAGAAAGCTTAGTCAGGCATAATCCTCAGATCAATAAGGCATGAGGTATAAAGGACACAGTCATTTTATTGATGCCCTAATGACTAGAATTTCTTCTGCTAAAAATTTTACCATGCTCTTTGAACCATGGGTTTTAAACAGTTCCAAATTATTATTTTCATTTCATCAATTTTGCTCTAATTCCAATTTTTATTCTCCTGTTTTCTTTTAAATATGCTTCATTGTTTTCTTCATTATTTTTTTTAAATTAAATTACAACTTGTAGAATATGTCCTAGATGCAGGATAGAAATATCTTAAGACTATTTGTGAAACACATCTATGAATAAAAAAGTAACTCTCATGGAATAGCCGGGCTTTATTAAATGAACTAAGATGTTTCTAATGTTCACTTTCTCTACTTTGGGATTCTGTATCCTACTTGAGTAAATAAGAAGTGAGGTTCCTTATTAAGTATTAGAAATTAACCATTTTCCTTGAATGGAATATTTCACATAAATGCACTGGGACAATACAGCGAACACAGCTTAGAGCAGATATTCTTTTTCTCCTTGGTTCTCTGCCTGATTTATTGGATTACATGATTTCCAAAGTCCCTATTCTTTCACCATCTGACTAAGACTATCTGTTCCCCTTATTTTTTAAATATAGTTTCAAAAAAAAATTTCAGACTATATTATACCTTTATCATAGAAAATGTCAAAGTAGTTGGAATAAGCTTATTTTTCTCTATTAAAATAGTAACATTAAAAAGATTCATTATTTTTCAAAAAGCAAATTTCTGTCATTCTAATGCAAAATGTGTATCGATTTGACCTCATAATGCTAAATAAATTAAGCAAGTATTTTACAATTAATTGTACATCATTATCACCAAAAGTAATTTTTATGACACTTTATTAGGTCTTCAGGGAATTTAATTTATTCATGACCCTGATTAAATCAAACTGCCTGAAGCGACTATTGATTTATATTGCCAATACCATTATGAACATGCATTGTGTGATTATCACATTACCATATTATCTGTATGTAAGGTCAAATAAAGACAACTGCTGGTGTCCAGTACAGCAATATAGTATAATGCATTTATTTTCTAAAAACATATGCTTTCATACATAATTTAAATATATTTTCAGTTACATTTCTGCTGTCCAGGGTAAAAGCAAAGCCAGCAAAACAGATTGAGCATATATGAGATCGTATTTATGATGACTGTTTAGATTTAAAGTAATATCCTTTCTTTCTAATAGATACTGCATTCAGAAAAAAAACATTTTACGTTACTCATTAAATTAGTTTTATCTTTTGTCTCCTTTTCAATTATTAAATGAACCTCTAGATAAAAATTTCCCAAATTCATTACTCGTTTTTTTTAAACTTGATGTAGGCAAAGTTAGATATTACAGGTTTAGAAAAGATTATTATTCAGTTTCTATTCTTAAATTCACTGTTATACATTTTAATAGTAAAGTAAAACACTTCCTTTTTCTAAAATTGAACCAATTGTTAGCAATATTTCTTACCTCCTCTTCTAGCCAATCATTATACTGAACAATGGAGGACATTGCAACATCTGCACCTTTCATATAAAACATGATTTCACCTGTAGATTCATCCTAAAAATAAGTAAAGCAATAACTTAAGGACAAAAGAAACAAATGCTGACCTAAAACCATATGTACAATATTTACTCCTTTCATTTCTAGAATATAGAATCTGTATAAGTTAGGAAATGAATCAATTCACATTATGAAAATTGATGAAAACAAAATCTACTCTGAAAATATTTTGGAGGACATTTAAGTTTTCCTCCAGTTTTCATATTATATAAATATATACAAGATATTTTCAATAGGATTCCAATGAGAAAAGAAAATATTAACAATACATACCCTCACTATGATTCCCATTCGCTTGCTCTCAGATGTGAAAGGGAAAATTTGCAGAATATAGTATGTCAGAATCTGTCCACTGGGGGTTTTCAGTTGCATTGAAGTCAAATCCCTATTCACCAAAGTAAGACCAACACTTTCTGTCCACAGAACCAAAGCTACCTATACAAAAATACAATAGTGATTATGGTCAGTCGTACTCTGTGTAAGTGAAAATGAACTCAATTAAATTCAGTGCAGAAAAATATCAACAAATAAATACAATACACAAATGGTGATAGATTCAGTACAACCAATAACGATTGCATTTTGTATGATTCCCAATTTTGATTGGACAGAAGCAACTACTGTAGACAAAGTACATTTTGTCAACTGATGTATAACAGAAAAAAAAATCCCTGATGTGAGAGACAATATATTGCTTTCATCACCAATTACCATTTTATATCATTATAAAATTCAATCCTTATTTTTATCCCCCTTCCTTTTTTGTTTCTTTTTCATTGTTTACTTTCTTTCTTTAACTTATTTTAATCATTGTAGTTTTCTTATTGTATTATCACAGATGTATTACTTGTTTGTTACATGTCACTAACACTCTAAGTTAGGGATGCCCAACCTTGGTAATTTTTAGACTTGTGGACTTCAACTCCCAGAATTCCCCAGGCAGCATGTTGAAGTCCACAAAAGTCTTAAAGTTGCCAAGGTTGGACACCTCTGCTCTAGGTCAAATCTTCAATTTTGTAGCCTCTCATTTTTTGAAATTGCTTACTACTCAAAATCAAATTCGCTTCCACACTGTTAAATGTTTCAGGAAAGCCATTAAAACAAGGCTTTTTAAGAAAGCCCTAGGAGGAGATCCAGTAAAAGTTACTGGGCTGTGGTTGGACGCTTTGTTCTCATAACCTTAATTTCTGTTTTAGTAACTTTTGTATTGCCATTTTGATTACTGTTTCTCATTTTATTATACTTTTTGGTATTTTAATCCTTTTATTATAAGAAGAAAATGTAAGCTCTTCAAAGTCCTGTTGCAATGGAACAGCACATAAACACCAGCAAACAAATAATTAACTAGGGGGAAAAACCAGTAACTATTAGTAGTCTTATCATTACGAATTTGTATAATTCCCTTTTAAAGAAGTTCAAATTGGCAGACTTCACTCAGTAAAGATATAAGAATATATTCTACAATTTAATTTTGTGGAAAACAAAGAATTTGCAAGGGTCTTTTTTCCAAAGCATTTCTCCAGCATTTAACTTCATTCGAATTCTAATAATATAAAAATGAAAACATATTTTTCCATACTTTGTATAATTTTGTCATTTCAATCCTTACCACTGATATTTTTTTCCTAACCTAGAATACCCCAAATACTGGCTGTGAGGGTGCTTTGATATTATATTTCTTCCTCTATGTTCAAAATAGGACAGTAAAATCTGATATATTCTCTGGCCCATAATTGAAAAGCTTTTAGATATTAAGACAGACGGGTTGGTTGGTTGGTTGGTCGGTCTTTCTGTCTGTCTGTCTGTCTGTCTGTCTATCTATCTATCTATCTATCTATCTATCTATCTATCAATCAATCAATCAATCAATCAATCAATCT